AGAAGATTCATCCCTGCGCTTATTACTGACTTCACTTAATTAACCAAGACTCATTCATTCTAACTTGTTGAAATAAAAATGTACACTTAATCTAACACCATCTAATGAAGTATTAGCTCTACTTTTGCAGGAAATTCTTGAACCAAGTAGCCGATTGCTTAGGATATCTTTTCAAGCTGCCATTACTAAAGTCCACGAAGATGATGCCAAACCTCGAAGTAAAACCAGAGGTCCATTCAAAGTCATCCAAAAGTGTCCAAGCAAAGAAACCTTTGACATTCACACCGTCTCTGCCAGGAATATCATCAAAATGATTGTTTACTACCTGTTCTTTGAATTATAAAGACTAATTCACTGATTAGCAAATTAATAAATAATGAGAAAAGCAAACTCACTTAATGGCTCTATGGAGGAACAAAAGATGGCGGTAGTAGTAAAGTACCCTGACTGGATCCTCCAGGGCATGAGGTAAGGTAGCAGTATTATTAGTATCACAAACCCCTGGAAAATATCATAAAGTTGGAGAAAATTAATTAATATTACTTATGAAATTGGTCAGTCAATGAAGTGATATCAATTGAAGAACTTTTCCCACCATTTTCAGTGATGTAAATAACAGGGTTCTTGTAATTTCTCTTGGTGTGAAGCAGAAGATCTCGGAACCCCTTTGGATAAACGTAGAGCCAGCTTGAACCAGGCTGCCAAACAATATAATTTATATATTATGAATATTCTAATTATTTAAACACATGTCAAAAGTCTTTTTTTTCTTTGATTCGTATACATACTTGTTCACCAATGGGGACCCCATTACGCACAGCTGCAAAATAAAAATAGATAGAAAGAATTCATTAAATCATGTGAGTCAAAAGCAAATAAGCAAAATCTAGCAGTATTGTTATGTTTCTTCTACAAACTTACGGGTTGTCTCCACTCCGGAATCGGTGGAGTAGCTAATATTGACGGTAGCGGCAGGAACACTCCTAGCATAATATGTTGTGTAGTAATTTATTCCAATAAAATCATAAGATCCTTTGAGCCTCTTTGATTGCCTCTTGCTAAACACTGGAAGTCTTATTCCCACCCGTTCACTCATGGACGCTGGATAATCACCATACACCACTGGGTCCAAAAACCTACAACGTAAATTAAAGAAAACCATTATAAATGGCTTCTTATTTAAAATATCTTTAGTTAATTAATGAGCAGTTTGGACAATTTACTTACCATCCAAGATTGAAATCAAGGGCTCTTTTGGCTGCCGCAACATCAGATGTGGAGTTGGAGTAAGGTAGCATCATAACAGTCGTTAATGTTATTCCAATCTGTCCCTTCTGAGTTGCCTATACTATGAACACCGTAACATAGTTTAATTTTTTAGTTATTCAACTAGCTCTGTAAAAGCTGAATGCATACATACCTGTGTGTGTGTGTGCATATATATATATATATAACCAGAAATAATTAGCTAGTACCTGTCACTCACCTGGTACTTTTGCTTGTATAGTTGAACAGCTGCTGCATGAGCAAGTAGCAGATTGTGGCCAACAATGTAAGGCTCGGTGGCAGAATTTCCGGCCTCGCATGCTGGATATACCCATTTGGAGCAGCGGGCTGGTGCCCAATTGCCCAAGTCATAACCTCGGTAAGAGAACATATTGGGCTCATTCAGAGTGATCCAATGCTTCACACGATCACCAAATTCTTTGAAGCAAAGTTCGGCGAAGTCTCGAAAATCATCCCTGTATTTTTCAAAATAATAAATAATCTATATGGCATGAGGAACGGTTGGGTTGTGTGTGTGCATGTGTTGTGTGAAATTCAATTTTCATACACAAAACAGAGAGCTTAAAAGGCCACCATATCATCTTCCAGGGCTTGGGGAACATCCCAATGAAAGATGGTCACAAAGGTTGCAGACCTGCGCGCAATGGTAGTTTAACAGATATTAGCATATATTTTATAAAAGACTATAAGATGATGGGCTAGAATTATCACCGTTTGCTATTAGCTCGTTGATGAGATATTGTTCAAAAACGAATGCCTCCTTGTTCACTCCCCTTTTCAGCTTCCCACCCTGATTTGTGGCCAAAGGGCAATTATAATAAAAATTGAACCTCCCCTGAAACAGTAAAGAAGGAAGCCTATTGATGGCAATGTTGTAAGGTTTAACGAAATACTATGGATGATTGTTAAAACTAATTGTACATTGGTGTTATATCATTCTTCACTAAAATTGTTTCGAGGTACTGAAGAGAAATAATGATATACCAGGAAGAACCCAGACCACGAAACGGAGAATCTGAATGCATCCGTATTCATATCCTCATTATCTTTACATATTCCTATGATTATAGTGGTCACCTTTAATTTGTTGATAATATTCAATACAGAGAAGAGAAAAGAAGCCAGCAACATCAAATAGCAAACATAAGTAAAGAGAGATAATCTACTCAAAACCTTGTAACGGTGGTAAAAATCTTCAGGACATCTCCATTGCTACCATCCGCTATTTTCTGCAGTGCAATAAAGAATACAGAAAGTTGTGAGAATAGATATGAGAACAATTCATGCAGTCAGAGATACGTTTGAGGCACTGTAAAAACCTGGTGCGCGTGGGTGAAATATCCAGATACTGGCTTCCTCCCCCTGTGCTGCCGCACCTTCATACTGTGGAAATCGTATAAATTTTCTTAGAAATTATTTTGTTGTATGTATATATAGCATTAGTGTATTAATTTGAACCTGATAAGCGAGGAGGATGTGAAACGAAACCTTTTGGAAAGCTAGTACGATTGAAGAGAGATTATGGACTTGACCATTTGTTGCTCTTATGCCCTGTGTTTTAGCTAATATAGCGTTAAGAACCAAGAGATAGGGTGCAAGAGACGTTTTTTATCATACCCATTTTGATTGTGTCTTGAACTTGAATGCATCCCATTGCCCTATTCATACTGGCAACTTTCAGGCATATAGGTATAATAAAATGACCATACATCCCTAAGGTTTACCAGATATCAGAATTTTTAGTCTATCCTTGGAATTATTGAAGAGTCCAAGTGAAAAACAAAGTGATAATTAAAGTGGAGAAACAAGCAGTGGTACACGTTAAGTTTCCTCTTCTAATTTTGAAGATATTAAGTATCAGGTTTTTTAATACCAAATGTCGACATAAATTTCTTGATTCTAGCAACAAGAATCTTCCATGCACATGCTTTCTTTATACATAATTACCACTTGTTTAGTTTATTAGATTCATGTTTCAAGCAATAATTCTTTTATAAGCAGAAATCTATTTTCTATGTTATATAATGCATGTGGGACTATTTTCTATGTCCTTATGTTGGACTTATACTGCATTTTCTTTTTCACATGTGGCAACTAGATCTAGTGATGATTATTAACAATATTATACTCTGTAATAAAGGAAAGCATTCTCCATGTATCTTCTTATTTTACTGATTGCTTGTTTGTCTAATGGAGATATATATAATAGAAATATATTCTTGCCAAAAAAGATATAATAAAAAATTATATATCAAAACTGAAATAACGTCAACGCGAGATCTCTCTTCTCTCAACAGTCAAAAAATAAAGTAAATTCTAATAATCACTGGTTCAAGACTCTTATAATAATAATAAATAATAAAATTCATAAAATTATTGTCTAGATCAATAAATCTCTTTATTAGATCCAACACCGGGACGGGAGAAAGAATAAGCTAATTTTTCCATGTGTAATATCAAATATATAGATGTAATCTAATTCTCTCGATTTTCTTAGATATTTGTATGAATTTTACCTAACTATTAAATTTTTGGGACATACTGTCCTTATTTTAAAATTAATTTATATTTGTTTTGCCATTACAATTTACCCAGCACACCCTGCATAAAGTTTTTAACTGTATTGCCCTTGATTTTAAAACAATTTACAAACCATCCAAGAGGATTGCCGACAGTCGGCCAATGTTGTCGAACCTGTGCACGACCGGTCGTACACTGATCTGACCATTTTTTACCAAATCGATGGTTGGAAACAGCCATATGGTCGTGGATCTAGACCTTTTCCTCTACGTTGCCACCGATATTAAGCCTGATATGGGTTGATTCCAGCATCATCGTCGACGCCAACCACCAGCATCTTACTCCTCTCTTTTTCCTCTTCAAATCCTGCCAAACCCCATCACCGGAGCTACCCTCAATTGCCAGAGAAGCCCACTGCTTTTTTGGACGATTTCCCTTTTTCTAGGCGCTTTTTCGGTCGCATTTTCACCAAAAATCATTCCCACTTGCACTGATCCACTCCCTTTCAGGTCCTCTTCAAAACCCCTCAAAGAACATCTCCGTTGCACTTCCTGATCCACGGTCAGCGGTCAGCAATAGCTTGGATGGGTGGGGATGTTTTTATTAACAATTAAATTTTTTGTTGCTGGGGTGTTTTAACAAAACTCTCAAATGTAGGAGGTTAAAAAATGATTCAAAAAATAATAATAGTAACAATATTATATTAATATTTAAAAAGGAGGACAATTTAGTAATCCATATAACAAACCAACTAATTTATTCCTCTCAACCAAACATATCAATATAACATACCCACCAATTTATTTCTACCTACCTAAATACATTTTTCTAAACATACCCAATAATCTTCAGAGTAATTTATATTTTCATTAATATAATATTTTTAGTAATACAACATTCCATGAATCAAATGCACCTTTAATACTTGAGACCGTTTTAATTTTGACCAAGGCTCGAGGGTTTAAAGTAATAATCGCTTAATTAAATAACTAATCATTAGTGAAAAGGTACATTTAACACCTTCACTAACAGTAAAATTGGAGAATGATTACAACTGCAACCCGACGTTAACTTGGCAGGAGAAGATTCATCCCAGCGCTTATTGACTGGACTTCACTTAATTAACCAAGACTCATTCATTCTAACTTGTTGAAATAAAAATGTACACTTAATCTAACACCATCTAATGAAGTATTAGCTCTACTTTTGCAGGAAATTCTTGAACCAAGTAGCCGATTGCTTAGGATATCTTTTCAAGCTGCCATTACTAAAGTCCACGAAGTTGATTCCAAACCTCAAAGTAAAACCATAGCCCCATTCAAAGTCATCTAAAAGTGTCCAGGCAAAGAAACCTTTGACATTCACACCGTCTCTGCCAGGAATATCATCAAAATGATCATTTACTACCAGTTCTTTGAATTATAAAGACTAATTCACTAAATAATGAGAAAAGCAAACTCACTTAATGGCTCTACGGAGGAATAAAAGATGGCGGTAGTAGTAAAGTACCCTGACTGGATCCTCTAGGGCTTGAGGTAAGGTAGCAGTATTATTAGTATCAATAACCCCTGGAAAATATCATAATTAAGGTTGGAGAAAATTAATTAATATTACTTATGAAATTGGTCAGAGTCAATAAAGTGAATATCAATTGAAGAACTTTTCCCACCATTTTCAGTGATGTAAATAACAGGATTCTTGTAATTTCTCTTGGTGTAAACCAGAAGATCTCGGATCCCCTTTGGATAAACGTAGAGAAAGCTTGAACCAGGCTGAACCTGGGGGCGGTGAGTGAAATATCCCAGATACTTGGCTTCTGCCTCCTGTAGCTGCCGCACCTTCATACTGTGGAAATCGTATAAATTTTCTTAGAAATTATTTGTTGTATGTATATATGCAATAAGTGTATTAACTTGAACCTGATAAGCCGAGGGGATGTTCCGAAAACGAAACCTTTTGGAAAGCTAGTACGATTGAAGAGATTATGGACTGACCACTTGTTGCTCTTATGCCCTGTGTTTTCGCAAATATAGCGATAAGAAACAGGAGAAGGGTGCAAGAGACGTTAATAATACCCATATTTGATTGTGTTTTGAACTTGGAATGCATCCCCATTGCCCCTATTTATACTGCAACGTTCAGGCATATTAGGTATAATATAATGACCATACACTCCCTAAGGTTTACCTAGATATCAGAATTTTTAGTCTAATCCTTGGAATTATTGAAGAGTCCAAAGTGAAAAAAAACGATGATAAATTAAAGTGGAGAAACAAGCAGTAGTACACGTTAAGTTTCCTCTTTCTAATTTTTGAAGATTTTAAGTATCATGTTTTTAATAACAATGTCGACATAAATTTCTTGATTCTAGCCAACAAGATATCTTCCATGCATGCTTTCTTTATACATAATTACCACTTGTTTAGTTTATTATATTCATGTTTACAAGCAATAAAGTCTTTTATAAGCAAGAATCTTTTCTATTTTATATAATGCATGTGGACTATTTTCTATAGTCCTTATGTTGGACTATATACGGCATTTCTTTTTCACCATGTGGCAACTAGACCAGTGATGATTATAACAATACATACATCTGTAATAAAGGAAAAGCCATGTTCTTTATTTGTACTGATTTTGCTTTTTTGTCAAGGGATATATATAATAGAAAATATATTCTTGCTCAAAAAAGATTATAACAAAAAATTATATTCAAAACTTGAAATAACGTCAACGCGATCGATCTCTCTTCTCTCAACAGTCAACAAGTAAAGTAAAATTCTAATAATCACTTGTTTCAAGAATCTTATAATAATAAATAATAATAATATAATAATAATAAAAATTCATACAATATTTTGTCTAGATCAATAAATTTATTAGATCCAACACGGGACGGGAGAAAGAATAAAAGCTAACTTTTCCATGTGTGTAATATCAAATATATAGATGATAATCTAATTCTCTGGATTTTCTTAGATATTTTATTATAATTTTACCTTTAACTATTAAATTTTGGACATAATGTCCTTATTTGAAATTAATTACATTATGCTGATATTAAAATTATATTAGCTCTACTTTTGCAGGAAATTCTTGAACCAAGTAGCCGATTGCTTAGGATATCTTTTCAAGCTGCCATTACTAAAGTCCACGAAGTTGATTCCAAACCTCAAAGTAAAACCATAGCCCCATTCAAAGTCATCTAAAAGTGTCCAGGCAAAGAAACCTTTGACATTCACACCGTCTCTGCCAGGAATATCATCAAAATGATCATTTACTACCAGTTCTTTGAATTATAAAGACTAATTCACTAAATAATGAGAAAAGCAAACTCACTTAATGGCTCTACGGAGGAATAAAAGATGGCGGTAGTAGTAAAGTACCCTGACTGGATCCTCTAGGGCTTGAGGTAAGGTAGCAGTATTATTAGTATCAATAACCCCTGGAAAATATCATAATTAAGGTTGGAGAAAATTAATTAATATTACTTATGAAATTGGTCAGTCGATGAAGTGAATATCAATTGAAGAACTTTTCCCACCATTTTCAGTGATGTAAATAACAGGATTCTTGTAATTTCTCTTGGTGTAAACCAGAAGATCTCGGATCCCCTTTGGATAAACGTAGAGAAAGCTTGAACCAGGCTGTTAAACAATAGAATTTATATATCATGAATATTCTAATCATTTGAACACATGTCAAAAGTCTTTTTTTTTTCTTTTGACTCATTTACATACTTGCTCGCCAATGGGGACCCCGTTACGCACGGCTGCAAAAGAAAAATAAATAGAACGAATACATTAAAAATCACATGAGTCAAAAGCAAATAAGGAAAATCTAGCAGTATTGTTATGTTTCTTCTACAAACTTACGGGTCGTCTCAACTCCGGAATCGGTTGAGTAGCTAATATTGACAGTAGCGGCTGGAACACTCCTAGCATAATATGTTGTGTAGTAATTTATTCCAATAAAATCATAAGATCTTTTGAGCCTCTTTGATTGCGTCTTGCTGAACGTTGGAAGTCTTATTCCCACCCGTTCACGCATGGATGCTGGATAATCACCATAAGCCACTGGGTCCAAAAACCTGTAACGTAAATTACAGAAAACCATTATAAATGGCTTCTTATTTAAAATATCTTTAGTTAATTAATGAGCAGTTTGGTCAATTTACTTACCATCCAAGATTGAAATCAAGGGCTCTTTTGGCTGCCGCAACATCAGATGCGGAGTTGGAGTAAGGTAGCATCATAATAGTCGTTACTGTTATTCCAATCTGTCCCTTTTGAGTTGCCTATTTTATGAATACCGTAACATAATTTAATTTTTAGTTCTTCAATTGGCTCTATAAGAGCCGAACACTGACATATATATAACCAGAAATAATTACCTAGTAGCTGTCACTCACCTGGTACTTTTGCTTGTATAGTTGAACTGCTGCTGCATGAGCAAGAAGCAGATTGTGGCCTACAGTGTAAGGCTCGGTTGAAGAGTTTCCGGCCTGGCATGATCCATCTACATATTTGGAGCAGCGGCCTGGTGCCGAAATGCCGGTGTCATAACCTTGGCTAGCAAAGTTAGAGGGCTCATTAAAAGTGATCCAGTGCTTCACCCGATCACCAAATTCTTTGAAGCAAAGATCAGCGAAGTTTCGATAATCATCCCTGTATTTTTCAAAATAATTAAAATAATCTCTTATATGGTCATGAGAACGGTTGGGTTGTGTTTGTGCATGTGTTGTGTGAAATTCAATTTTCACTTACACAAAACGAGAGCTTAAAAGGCCACCATAATCATCTTCCAGGGCTTGGGGAACATCCCAATGAAAGATGGTCACAAAGGGTTGCAGACCTGCTCGCAAATGGTAGTTTAACAGATATTAGCATATATTTTATAAAAGACTATAAAGATGAATGGGCTAGAATTATCACCGTTTGCTATTAGCTCGTTGATGAGATTATTGTAAAAACGAATGCCTTCCTTGTTCACTCCCCTTTTCAGCTTCCCACCTGATTTGTGGCCAAAGGGCAATTATAATAAAAATTAGAACCTCCCCTGAAACATGTAAAGAAGGGAAGCCTATTGATGGCATTTGTTGTAAGTTAACTAGAATACTATGGATGATTGTAATAAACTAATTGTACATTTGTTGTTATATTCATTCTTCACTAAAATTGTTTCGAGGTACTGAAGAGAAATAATGATATTACCAGGAAGAACTCTAGACCACGAAACGGAGAATCTGAATGCATCCGTATTCATATCCTTCATTATCTTTACATCTTCCTATGATTATAGTGGTCACCTTTTAATTTGTTAATAATATTCAATACAGAGAAGAGAAAAGAAGTTAGCAACATTAATATAGCAAACATAAGTAAAGAAGAGATAATCTACTCAAAACCTTGTAACGGTGGTAAAAATCTTCAGTTACATCTCCATTGCTACCATCCGCTATTTTTTCTGCAGTGCAATAAAGAATACAGAAAGTTGTCGAAGAATAAGATATGAGAACAATTCATGCAGTCAGAGATATGTTTGAGGCACTGTAAAAACCTGGGTGCGCGTGAGTGAAATTATCCCAGATACTTGGCTTCCTCCCTCCTGTAGCTGCCGCACCTTCATACTGTGGAAATCGTATAAATTTTCTTAGAAATTTATTTGTTGTATGTATATATAGCAATTAAGTGTATTAATTTGAACCTGATAAGCCGAGGAGGATGTTCCGAAAACGAAACCTTTTGGAAAGCTAGTACGATTGAAGAGATTATGGACTTGACCACTTGTTGCTCTTATGCCCTGTGTTTTCGCTAATATAGCGATAAGAACCAGGAGATAGGGTGCAAGAGACGGTTTAATAATACCCATATTTGATTGTGTTTTGAACTTGGAATGCATCCCCATTGCCCCTATTTATACTGCAACTTTCAGGCATATTAGGTATAATATAATGACCATACACTCCCTAAGGTTTACCTAGATATCAGAATTTTTAGTCTAATCCTTGGAATTATTGAAGAGTCCAAAGTGAAAAACCGATGATAAATTAAAGTGGAGAAACAAGCAGTGGTACACGTTAAGTTTCCTCTTTCTAATTTTTGAAGATATTTAAGTATCAGGTTTTTTAATACCAAATGTCGACATAAATTTCTTGATTCTAGCCAACAAGATATCTTCCATGCACATGCTTTCTTTATACATAATTACCACTTGTTTAGTTTATTATATTCATGTTTACAAGCAATAAAGTCTTTTATAAGCAAGAATCTATTTTCTATTTTATATAATGCATGTCGGACTATTTTCTATAGTCCTTATGTTGGACTATATACGGCATTTTCTTTTTCACCATGTGGCAACTAGATCCAGTGATGATTATTAACAATACTATTACTCTGTAATAAAGGAAAAGCCATGTTCTTTATTTGTACTGATTTTGCTTTTTTGTCTAATGGAGATATATATAATAGAAAATATATTCTTGCTCAAAAAAGATTATAACAAAAAATTATATATCAAAACTTGAAATAACGTCAACGCGATCGATCTCTCTTCTCTCAACAGTCAACAAGATAAAGTAAAATTCTAATAATCACTTGTTTCAAGAATCTTATAATAATAATAATAATAATAATAATAATAATAATAAAATTCATACAATTATTTTGTCTAGATCAATAAATCTTTTATTAGATCCAACACCGGGACGGGAGAAAGAATAAAAGCTAACTTTTTCCATGTTGTAATATCAAATATATAGATGATAATCTAATTCTCTGGATTTTCTTAGATATTTTATTATAATTTTACCTTTAACTATTAAATTTTTGGACAATAATGTCCTTATTTTGAAATTAATTTACATTATGCTGCTATTACAATTTATCCCTAACTAATTAAGTTTTTAACTGTATTGCCCTTGATTTTAAAACAATTTACAAACCACCCAAGAGGATTGCCGACAGTCGGCCAATGTTGTCGAACCTGTGCACGACCGGTCGTACACTGATCTGACCATTTTTTTACCAAATCGATGGTTAGAAATAGCCATATGGTCGTAAATCTAGACTTTTTCCTCTACGTTGCCACCGATATTAAGCTTGATATGGGCTGATTCCAGCATCATCGTCGGCCCCAACCACCAGCATCTTACTCCTCTCGTTTTCCTCTTCAAATCCTGCCAAACCCCATCACCGGAGCTACCCTCAATCGCCAGAGAAGCCCACTGCTTTTTTGCGTGATTTCCCTTTTTCTAAGCGCTTTTTCGGTCGCATTTTCACCAAAAATCATCACCACTTGCATCGATCCACTCCCCTTTAGCTCCTCTTCAAAACCCCTCAAAGAACATCTCTGTTGCACTTCCTGATCGACGGTCAGCGGTCAGCAATAGCTTGGATGGGTGGGGATGTTTTTATTAACAATTAAATTTTTCGTTGCTGGGGTGTTTTAACAAAACTCTCAAATGTAGGAGGTTAAAAAATGATTCAAAAAATAATAATAGTAACAATATTATATTAATATTTAAAAAGGAGGACAATTTAGTAATCCATATAACAAACCAACTAATTTATTCCTCTCAACCAAACATATCAATATAACATACCCACCAATTTATTTCTACCTACCTAAATACATTTTTCTAAACATACCCAATAATCTTCAGAGTAATTTATATTTCTATTAATATAATATTTTTAGTAATACAACATTCCATGAATCAAATGCACCTTTAATACTTGAGACCGTTTTAATTTTGACCAAGGCTCGAGGGTTTAAAGTAATAATCGCTTAATTAAATAACTAATCATTAGTGAAAAGGTACATTTAACACCTTCACTAACAGTAAAATCGGAGAATGATTACAACTGCAACCCGACGTTAACTTCGCAGGAGAAGATTCATCCCTGCGCTTATTGACTGGACTTCACTTAATTAACCAAGACTCATTCATTCTAACTTGTTGAAATAAAAATGTACACTTAATCTAACACCATCTAATGAAGTATTAGCTCTACTTTTGCAGGAAATTCTTGAACCAAGTAGCCGATTGCTTAGGATATCTTTTCAAGCTGCCATTACTAAAGTCCACGAAGTTGATGCCAAACCTCGAAGTAAAACCAGAGGTCCATTCAAAGTCATCCAAAAGTGTCCAAGCAAAGAAACCTTTGACATTCACACCGTCTCTGCCAGGAATATCATCAAAATGATTATTTACTACCAGTTCTCTGAATTATAAAGACTAATTCACTGATTAGCAAATTAATAAATAATGAGAAAAGCAAACTCACTTAATGGCTCTATGGAGGAACAAAAGATGGCGGTAGTAGTAAAGCACCCTGACTGGATCCTCCAGGGCATGAGGTAAGGTAGCAGTATTATTAGTATCACAAACCCCTGGAAAATATCATAAGGTTGGAGAAAATTAATTAATATTACTTATGAAATTGGCCAGTCAATGAAGTGATATCAATTGAAGAACTTTTCCCACCATTTTCAGTGATGTAAATAACAGGGTTCTTGTAATTTCTCTTGGTGTGAAGCAGAAGATCTCGGATCCCCTTTGGATAAACGTAGAGCCAGCTTGAACCAGGCTGCCAAACAATAGAATTTACATATTATGAATATTCTAATTATTTAAACACATGTCAAAAGTCTTTTTTTTCTTTGATTCGTATACATACTTGTTCACCAATGGGGACCCCATTACGCACAGCTGCAAAAGAAAAATAAATAGAAAGAATTCGTTAAATCATGTGAGTCAAAAGCAAATAAGCAACATCTAGCAGTATTGTTATGTTTCTTCTACAAACGTACGGGTTGTCTCCACTCCGGAATCGGTGGAGTAGCTAATATTGACGGTAGCGGCAGGAACACTCCTAGCATAATATGTTGTGTAGTAATTTATTCCAATAAAATCATAAGATCCTTTGAGCCTCTTTGATTGCCTCTTGCTAAACACTGGAAGTCTTATTCCCACCCGTTCACTCATGGACGCTGGATAATCACCATACACCACTGGGTCCAAAAACCTACAACGTAAATTAAAGAAAACCATTATAAATGGCTTCTTATTTAAAATATCTTTAGTTAATTAATGAGCAGTTTGGACAATTTACTTACCATCCAAGATTGAAATCAAGGGCTCTTTTGGCTGCCGCAACATCAGATGTGGAGTTGGAGTAAGGTAGCATCATAACAGTCGTTAATGTTATTCCAATCTGTCCCTTCTGAGTTGCCTATACTATGAACACCGTAACATAGTTTAATTTTTTAGTTATTCAACTAGCTCTGTAAAAGCTGAATGCATACATACCTGTGTGTGTGTGTGCATATATATATATATATAACCAGAAATAATTAGCTAGTACCTGTCACTCACCTGGTACTTTTGCTTGTATAGTTGAACAGCTGCTGCATGAGCAAGTAGCAGATTGTGGCCAACAATGTAAGGCTCGGTGGCAGAATTTCCTGCCTCGCATGCTGGATATACCCATTTGGAGCAGCGGGCTGGTGCCCAATTGCCCAAGTCATAACCTCGGTAAGAGAACATATTGGGCTCATTCAGAGTGATCCAATGCTTCACACGATCACCAAATTCTTTGAAGCAAAGTTCGGCGAAGTCTCGAAAATCATCCCTGGAATTTCAAAATAATTAAAATAATCTCTTATGTGGTCATGAGAAGGGTTGGGTTGTGTGTATGCACGTGTTGTGTGAAATACAATTTTCACTTACACAATACTAGCGCTTAGAAAGCCACCATAATCATCTTCCAGGGCCTGGGGAACATCCCAATGAAAGAAGGTCACAAAGGGTTGCAGACCTGCGCGCAAATGGTGGTGTAACAGGTATTAGCATATATTTTATAAGAACTAATTAAAATTAATTCTTCTTATTGAATAAATCTAATATATTACTTGTACGGTGTATTTTCGATTCTTTTTTGTTTGGTTGTATTTATGATATATTTTATTGAAAAGAAAGTCCAAATACATTTGAATAGTGTCATAATTAACATCTTTAATGTGATAACTATCTAAATGTACTTTTCGGCAGTGTATCTATATAAGATCAGCTGGCGGGGACATGGTATTGAGCCGTAATAAATTAGAGCTATATATAAACTAAGTGATATCAGTTGTGACTTTATTCAATAAAGATGTTTTGCTGTTTATCAATTTATTTAATGTAAGCTATAAAGATGAATGGGCTAGAATTAAGTTTTTACCGTTTGCTAGTAGTTCGTTGATAAGATTATTGTAAAAACGAATGCCTTCCATATTCACTCCCCTTTTCAGCTTCCCACCTGATTTGTGGGCAAAGAGCAATTATAATAAAAATTAGAACCTCCCCTGAAAGTTTAATGAAGGCAAGCCTATTGATGGCATTTGTTGTAAGTTAATCAAATTGTACGTTTGTTGTTATATTCATACTTCACTAAAATTGTTTTGGGGTAATGAAGAGAAATAATGATATTACCAGGAAGAACTCTAGACCATGAAATGGAGAATCTGAATGCATCTGTATTCATATCCTTCATTATCTTTACATCTTCCTGTGATTATAGTCCTCACATTTTAATTTGTTAATAATATTCAATATAGAGAAGAGAAAAGAAACCAGCAACATAAATAAAGAAGAGAGAATCTTTTCCAAACCTTATAACGGTGGTAAAAATCTACTGCTACATCTCCCTTGCTGCCATCCGCAATTCTTTCTGCAATGCAACAAAGAATAAATAAAGTTGACTGTCGGAGAATAAGATATGAGAACAATTCATGCAGTCAGAGATATGTTTGAAGCACTATAAAAACCTGGGTATGCGTGAGTGAAATTATCCCAGATACTTGGTCTCCTGCCTCCTGTAGCTGCCGCACCTTCATACTGTAGAAATCGTATAAATTTTCTTAGAAATTTATTTGTTGTATGTATATATAGCAATTAAGTGTATTAATTTCAACCTGATAAGCTGTGGAGGATGTTCCGAAAACGAAACCTTTTGGAAAGCTAGTACGATTGAGGAGATTCTGGACTTGACCACTTGTTGCTCTTATGCCCTGTGTTTGAGCTAACAAAGCGATAAGAACCAGGAGATAGGGTGCAAGAGGGGGTTTGATACCCATATTTGATTGTGTTCTGAACTTCGAATGCATCCATGCCCTTCCCCATTGCCCCTATTTATACTGCCGACCATACACTCCCTAAGGTTTACCTAAAACACAATTAATTAAGTTCCTCAGATTTACAAAAAAATATATATATAATTTTCTGAATAGTTGGTCAACATATTCAACATTCTTTGCCGTCCTCTTTTATATCTTTAAATATAATTTAAATCCATTAATTTTTTTTCCCTTTTATGTTAGATGTATGAGCAATTATATGACTTGTTTTATTGTAAGAACTTTTCGTTAGATGTTTGTTAATATTTTTTTTTTTAAAGAAAATAAAGAAACAAGTCTTTTAAAGAAATTTCTTGATTCTAGCCAACTAGATATCTTCTGTATCTTTCCATGGACATACTTTGTTTATACATAATTACCACTTGTTTAGTTTAATTGTATTCATGTATGCATCAATAAGCTAGATTACAGGCAATAAAGTCTTTTATGAGCAATTGAATCTGTTTCTAATGTTATGTAGTGCTTATGGCCCCGGGAACTTTTCTATTGGTCATATGTGGGAATCTCTATATTGACAGTTTTCTTCTTTGATAACATGTTGGCACACAAGATCAGTCACTTCGTTGATCCTGTGACAATGAGAAGAAAATGCCCCTATGTTATCGTGTCACTAAGATGCAATGCATCTCCAGTAACCAACCTTAATACTTTTTCAGTTGGACCACCACCCTAAGTTAAGATTTTGCGCCCCCGTACCTTTCACACAACTGGATCTAAACACCTGTAATCACATAATCCGCCTATGCCTTCATGAGCTATTTGCTAGTTATAGTAGTATGGATCTCATGGAATTCATAAATTATCTTGTCTAGATCAATAAATCTTTTAATTTATTCAAATTATTATAGTTTAAAGATCAACACCGTGAGGGTAGAAAGAACAAAAGTTAACATTTTCCATGTTATATCAAATTATAAATTAACACTGATGCATTCAAGGGAAGCCCAATTAGTAATGGTTTGAAATTGTTTTTTTTGTAAATATTTGGGCTGATGTTTAGCAAGGGAAGCCCAATTAGTAATTGGGTTTGAAATTGTTTTTTTGTAAATATTGGGTGGAGTGTTTAGCCCCAATGTGATTAGGTTTGCTATTATATGTGTACTGTAACAGTAAAAAAAAAAAACCTAATGTGAGAAACGATTGAGTGAGAGGGGAAGGAAGGAGTGAACAGTCATCATTATTATTATATTACTGTAGATTTCTGAAATCGATAAAACTTTTCGATCTTGAATGATGGATGTAATTTTTTTTATGGGAATGAACCAAAGTAAATTTGATTGTCCTTCTTACTTTTTGCTCAATTATTTGTGCATTTGGCAATATTTTTCAACAAGCCATGAGGGCTAATTGTATGATTTTTAATAGAAGAATGCTACGTTCAAAGTATTACATTTTTTTATTTTTTTAAGGCAATTTTAGTATTAACCCTCAATTAGAGTTGGCAATTTCCAAAGTACACAACTAGAAAATAGATAATTAAAATCAAAAACATCTTCAAACATTAAATTGCTAATTAGAAACGACCTTAAACTTTTCTTTAGACTGGATAAATATCCAATCTGACATGTATTATAGATTGAGAGTTTAATTAACATATAATTAGATGAAGTGCAGTGCAGTGCAGTTAAAAGAAATCAGGAGTCATAAGTTCCACAAAGTTCAGCATTGTAAGTCACTGAGAAGTTGTAGGTGTAATCTGGATGAGCTTGCTGAGTTTGCAAAAGGTAGTTGATTAAGTAAATTTATTCTTAACTTAGGTCAGTTAATCAAGTTTTCAGATTTATGTATACGTTACCTGCTCATTTGTAATTAGATAATCTTCCCATCAATTACTAAAAACCTCAAAGTTAGCTATGCTCCTCATTTTAAGTTGATATGCCTGTAATTTCTAATTTTAATTTGACGTTAGCTCAATAATCTAAAGTTTCAGATTGGGTATAAATAAGATAATATTATAAATTTTATGTCACTCACATTCATATATAAATATTACACAACATTTGGTTAATATAGTAATTAAGTTGGTGAAAATATTTATAAATTGAGGAGATGTTACTCATCGTTTTATTATAACCCAGCTTGAATATCAGAGAAGTTGAACTTTATTCATTTTTGCAGCTTATATACGTAGGAATTAATTAAGATAACAAATCTTGCTTATTTTGAACTTCACTTGATTAATAAACTTAGACTTAGAAATGGTTCTAGCATATAATATGAGCATGAGCTTCCTCCTACTACTTGAGGAAATTCTTGAACCACTTAGCCAAGTCCCTTGGATGTCTTTTCAAGCCATTATTATAGTGTATATGTTCATCCCAAATCTCATTGTATAATTACTCGTCCATTCAAAGTCGTCTAAGGTTGATGACAACCAACAAGGCTAAGGTTAGTGGGGGTTTAATCTTCATCAACATCAATCTTGAAATAAAAAAGAGGAATCACCACCCATATGAGATAATTCTTGTATCAATTGTATGTATTATAATTATATGAAATAACCATAAAACACTTTTTACCCCTCGTCAATGTCACAATTACATAATTCAATAAGGTTTTTAACACATCCAACAATCATTTAACTTTCATTATTCGAGATTATTTAGTTTCCAACCAAAGTGTTAAAATCTTGAGTAGAAATCCCATCATGTCCCTACAACTTCATTACAATCTCTTTAAGGGCTTCCATTCCTCTCATTTTCTTTCCTTTTCACACCAAAAACCACCTTCAACTCTTCACAACTTCATTCTTGTGAATACCAAGCCTTTAACTTTCATTCCAATGCCCCAAACTTCCTCCACCATCCATCCATTCATTCCATGATCTATGAACAATGGCCTCCCCATTATCGGCACTCCATTTGCAATGCTGTCACACACCAAATTTGATCCAATGTGTGTAACAAAACACCTTCGACCAAGGCCTAGAACTGTCTGAGGTGTCCTCGGAACCATCTCAAGCTCGTTAGTTCTCCTGAGAAACTTCTTTGGCAACTGCTTCTTCTTCTCATCCTTTAGGGACCAAATAAAAGGAATATAAGCTAAAACTTGCACAAAACTTGCACACACATCCATGAAAAACCACCACCTAACATGACAATTAGTGGTACCCCATAAATGTCATTGAATAAACTTGCATTATTCATCAATAAGACGAACCAAGGAAATCAGTCCAAAAAAGCGCAAACTCTTCTCCCAACCAGATCTCAACAACCAAAAAGAGCCAAACTCCTCATACCAGAGCAAAAGAAAGGCACAGAACAACACACTCACCTAAACACATCCAACAGCCTACCGAAAGAACACACCAGCACGACTCGTATACATCACCCCAGACTAGCCATAATAGCACAAAAGTCAACTTCCAAACAAGCACAAACGACCTATTACCCACAAGCCCACCCTACACTCCCCAACTCCTACACACACATAACACAACCAAAACCAACTAGCCCAACCATTTAACAAAAGGGAAAATATATAAATAATTAAAAAGATCTTAATCACATAAATTATGACATCCACTAATTTGAACATGTAACTCATCAAGTGGTAAGCAATAAACAATCATCCTATTCCTATTTTTTAAATTAGTGAATGAAGGCTTTATCAAATAGTATCACAAAAAAAGGGGATGAGGATAGGTGCAGGGGGAACGAATGCAGTCACCTCCACATAATATTCCAATACAAAAATTTAACATATTTGAGCTAGAACCCACCACTTAGCACAACCAAACCCAACTAATCCCCCTCCAACAAAAAATTGCTTACCCAAGCATACATTCAAAAATAAAACCTAAAAAAAACAACTTAAAAAAAAGCTGTTTTATATTCTATACATACCTAGTGTTGTTGCTTCACTGATCAGAAAATTGGGGAAACTGTGGGAAGATAAGTTGGCTATGAGCATAACTATGAACGATAAATTTTTAGCATTTGTTGGAGGATTTTGTTCTGTTTTCATCAACTCTATCTCTGTGTGTGTGTGTGTGTTAAATATTAATGTAACTTATAATTTATAAAAAAAACGTTGGAGGGTTTTTGTTTCGGTTTTTTATCTACTCCTCTCTCTTCTTCTTCTCCTCTCTCTCTATTTGTGTAATTTTAATGTGATTATAATTTATAAAACTAATACCTGTACAATTCTTGTGCTAAAAATGGAGAGGAAGCAGTACCCAAATCAGCCTTTTTTATTATTATGTTTACGTCTAAGACCTCAGTGAGCGATGGACCAGAATATCCCAAAAGTCAACTACATGCAAGAGAAGATAATTTAAAACTACATGAGAGAGATAATTTTTTTAATGATGACTATAATAAGCAAAGCCTAGCTGACATATAACATTGGTTCACCGTTTAAAGCCAAGCACAACTATTCATGTTTTTCATTAATTTCTCTCCCTATGCTAAGTAACTCGATTACTAAAAACTTCAAGGTTCACTATAGCTCATCATTTTAAGTTGATATGCCTTGCAATTTGTATTTTTAATTTGATGTTAGCTCAATAATCTAAGTGTTCAGATTTGGGTATAAATAATAATTATATAAATTTTAGGCTAGCACATCTTCATATATAAATATTACACATCATTTGGTTATATGAATTAAGTTGGTGAAAATATAATGAATTGAGAAGATGTATACTCATTAGTAATATAACCCAGCTTGAATATCAAGAGAAGTCGAATTTTATTCATGTTTACAGCTTACATACATAGGAATTGATAAGATAACAAATCCTCTCTTTATGGACTTTACTGTTCAATAAACTTAGACACATAGAAATGGTTCTAGCATATAATATCAAGATGAGCTTCCTCTTCACTACTTGAGGAAATTCTTGAACC